ATAAATAAGAGAGTTCACAGCCTTGTCTTACTTGTTTGCTGACCTAAACCAGGCTGTTTTATCATCTTCTGTCCATACTGTGGCTTCCCAGCTTGTCTATAGGTTTCACATAAAAACAATGAGATGTTCAGGGATTGATATGTTTGACTCAATTGGAGACCCTTCTAGAATTAATGAAATACATATTGACATGTTGGATATTCTTTGGCTTTCTTAATTATCCACTGTGAATCAACAATAATGACTCTTGTTGCTCAGTCTTTTCTAAAGCCATCTTGAACATCTAGCATCTCCCTTTCCCATATGAGGTTCTAATCTGTGTTGGATGATCCAAATATAACTTTGCTAGCAGGTAAAATTCTCGATATTTTCTAATAGTTGCACTTGCTGATAAATTTCCTTTCCTGGGTATATATTGATACATAGATTGACCGCTTCCGATCTGTTTGCCACTGTGTCACTCTCCAGATTTGCTGGCATAGCTTAGTGAGAACCTTCTTCATTGCTTGCCATATTTCTGTGGCATCAATTCCTGTAGCCTTCTAACTTGGCAATGACCAGAGTGCTGATCTATCTTAGAATGGAATGGAATGGAATAGAGCTGGAAGGGACCCTGGAAGTTTCTAGTCCAGCCCCCTGCTCAAGCAGAATAACCTACACCATCTCGGACAGATGATTATCTAGTCTTTTCTTAAAAATCTCCAGTGATGGAGCACCCTGGAGGTTTCTAGTCCAGCCCCCTGCTTAAACAGAATAACCTACACCATCTCGGACAGATGCTTGTCTAGTCTTTTCTTAAAAATCTCCAGTGATGGAGCACCACAATTTCTGGGGGCAAGCTGTTCCACTGGTTAATTGTCCTCACTGTCAGGAAATTTCTCCTTAGTTCCAGGTTGCTTCTCTCTTTTGTCAGTTTCCAACCATTGTTTCTCATCCTTCCTTCTGGTGCTCTGGTGAACAACCTGACCCCTTCTGCCTTGTGGCAGCCCCTCAGATACTGGAATACTGTTATCATGTCTCCCCTATTTCTTCTTTTCTTTAGACTAGCCAAACCTAAGTCCCACAGCCATTCTTCGTATGTTTTAGCCTCCAGGCCTTTGATCATCTTAGTTGTTCTTCTCTGAATTTTTTCCAAACTCTCAACATCTTTTTTGTGATATGGTGACCAAAATTGGCTACAGTATTCCATGTGTGGTCTTATTAGGGCTTTGTAAAGTGGTACTAGTACTTCACGTGTTAAGTAGGAAATATATTGTAAGGTATCTTGGATGTTGATATCTTTACTATCCAGAGATTCTGTATACTCCTTCCATTTTTTTTATTTTTTAAAACCAGTTATTATCTGTTTATTGGTATCCTCTAGCAAACCTATTTAAAGCTGGAGCCTCCTTTTGAGTTTGGGGTGTGTGGAAGATTTTCTCTGTTTTTCCATGCCTGTTCTATCTTCAATACTTTACAGATGTTGCAATACTGTTTATTGTCTCTTCTAGTAGCTGTCTGAAATTCTTTGTTAAGCTGCTTCCTTAGATCTTTGTCTTACTTGAATAACAGAATAACAGAGTTGGAAGGAACTTTGGAGGTCTTCTAGTCCAACCCCCCCCCCCTTCAAGCAGGAGACTCTATATTGTTCTGTTCTGGTTGTCCAATCTCTTCTTAAAAGCCTCCAGTGATGAGCCACCCACAATTTCTAAAGCAAGCCACTCATTGTTTAATAATTCTCACTATTAGGAAATTTCTCCTTAGTTCTAAGTTGATTAGTTTCTATCATTGCACAGTTCCTCTGCTTTGCTATCAAAGTGATTCCTTATGTTCTCCTTGACAATGGTTGGTATACAATAATTCAAGATCATATTGTAGAAACTGGATGGCTTTCTTTTTTTTACTTAAGCTTAACTGGGAACTTGCACAATGAATGTTCTGTTCCAGCATCAGCCCCTGCCCATGTCTTGGATGCTATAGTTGAGTTCCTTCACCTATTAATAATATAATCAATTTTATTTCTACATACCCCATCTAGTGATATCCATGTATATAGGCATTGTTTGTTGTTTGAAGATTGTGTTAGCAATAAAGGAATGGATTGGCAAAAATTATCCTGATTCATTTCAATTTCCTAGGTCATGTGGTCCTAATAATTTTCCCCTCCTTAATATTTCCAATTTTGGCATTGCAGCCTCCTACCACAATCAACACAGTTTGCTTGCATATTCTATCAATTTCAGACTGAATTTAATCACAAAACTCATTATCCTCCTCTTCTTCTGCATTTGTGGTGAGAGAATAAGCTTGGATAATTGTCATGTGAAAGGACTGTCTGTGAACCTTAATTGCCATTATTTGATCATTGAATGTGTTGCAAGGAAATTGTGTTCTTGCTACACATTTCCTCACTATGAAAACAATGCCATTTCTTGTTTTCTATTCCTAAGTAGTAGACAGCATGACCTTCTGACTGAAAGAGTCCAATTCAATCCATCTCAATACAATAATGCCCAAGAATTCATGTACAGTTGATGTCAGGCACGAAAAGCCAGGTCCACATGTGAAGGTTCAAATTAACTGATTTATTGCTAAAAACCTATGCACAGGTATCTTCTCAGCTAATGGTCAGCACCTGGTTAGAGTTAGATAAGGGTCAACAGCAATTAAAGGGGGTTACTAAGGATTCTAAACTTTTTTTTTTACTCCTTCCCTAGCTCTGTCAGTTTATTTTAGCTATTTATTTTGCATATGCTAATGTTACTTTAGCCAAAAGACTACAATGCTAATACAGAATAGTGGTTTGGCTGCCTAACATGCTAGTACATTCAATTCATGCTTCTACACTTTCCAAAATGCACCACAGGGGCAAGCTAGCTCTGCACCAGAAAACAAGGCAAACAGCATCCTGCAGCACAATCCAGGGTCTTTCCCCTCCACTGAAGTCATCTCGTAAATGGGCATCACATCTGGCACTGGCAGGGTTTTGACCATCTGCAAGAAGCACTGGCTCATCTTCCCAATGAAGCTGTACTTACTTGTCTATTGCATATAACATGCTTATATAACTGCTAGATGGACAGAAGCTGAGGCAAGTGACCCCACCATGTGGCGCTATGACTTAAACTGCTAGAACAAAAACCATCTCATTAAACTACTGAGCCACCTTGCCTCTGCCAGTCTTTCTTTAACAGTGGATTCATTTCATTTTCCCTGTTATTTTACTATGTTCATACTTCTTACATGTCATGTCCCCTTTGTAATTCCAGATTTTCTTTTCCTGAATGGCAACAGCAGCAACTGGATGTCTCCAAATCTAGCCACATCATAAGCACCATTAATATTCCAAATAATCTTTAGGTCTTTCTTAGTAGCATGTTGAATGTCATTCAAACTTTGGGGCCATCATCCAGTACCACATTGTCAATCATTTTATACTTTCTATCCATGTGGTTTTGATGAAGTACAAGCGTGGTTTACCCTTGCCTTCTCCTGTGCAATATGAAATATCTTCACTATGTCGCTGCTGCCCAATAATAATTGTTGGGTGACCCTATATTTCCAACTTATCCCTTCCAACCCCCCCTACCACCACCACCACAATAGCATGTGGAAGTTTTATACTACATCTATGTCTGGAATTAAGTTGCCCAGAAGTCCTTTTCAGTTATAAAATAATGCATTTCAATAGTAAAATCAATGGATTTTTCTTTTGGTGAACAATTGACCTGCAGGTTGGAAACTTTATTGAAATTAACCCATTCTTGGGGATCAAAATTTCCCTGATGCTTTGTTTTATCCCACTTCAGCCCTGAACTGCTTAACTCCAATAAAGACAATATTTCCTATTTGTTGAAACGATCGTCACTCATCTCTGCATACTATGGCCATTCTCAGTCCCACTTGTTTCAAATCACTATAGTCTTCTAGCTCAGGGCTTTTCAACCTTTTCACCCATTGTACCACTTTTAGGATATGGCAACATCCGAGTACCACCAATCGCCTAGTAAGGTGTCAAAAACTTGATGACCAAAAAAAAAAAAAAGAAAAGGAAAAAAGTGATAAAGTACAGCCCGGCGCCGCTCTTCCTCCTGTCCGAAGTTTCCAATTGTTGTGAAAATTTCTGTTGAGATTGGCAGTGAGGGTGGGGTGGAGGGTGTTTGGTTTTTATTCCCCCCCCCATCTGCTGGGTGGTTGCAGCAGGTTTTGGTCACTTCACATGACCCTGGGACACTGTGACCGTCATAAATATGAATCAGTTGCCAAGCATCTGAATGTAAATCACAAGACCCTGGAGATGCTGCAACAGTCCAGCTGATTGGCTCTTCTTCTGGGCTCAGCAGAAGCCTCAGGATCAGTGCTGCTTTCCAGCTGATTGGTGCTTCTTCAGGGCTCAGCAGAAGCATCAGGATCAGCGCCAAACTCCAGCTGGAGCCTGGCACTGATCCTGGTGCTTCCGCTGAGCCCTGACAGCCCTGCAGCTTCAGGCATCTCTCACTCAGGCTTGTGTGGTGCTGCCACGGGTTCAGCTCATTCCCTTCCCCCGCTACTACTTTTCTAGGATGGTCGTGTGCCACCTGCCAGGTTGAAAAGTCCTGTTCTAGCTTAACTAAGAAGTAATAAGTCTAACAGATTTTAAACACCTTGAGGTTGTCAAAATTAAGGAGGAAAATACTATTGAAACTATGAAACTATGAAGATGACTTTCTTAAGCCATCTCACTTATGGGCTGAGAAGAAACTAAAGCGAACACCAGAGGATTACTGGGGGGGGGGGGGAGAGGAAGAGAGAGAGAGAGAGAGAGAGAGATGGATGCCAGATCAGGCTTGTGCTGTGATTAGGTACAAGTGAGGAAGACTCCTACGTTTTTCTTCCATGGTGCCCTTTATAGGTTAAACTACAATTCTCTTACTCTTCAGACAATTTGATTGGATACACCTGATCTTTGCTCAGGTGGAGCAAAATTGCTCGGATAGCCGAACGCAAGATGTGCGCTTGACTCCCACGCAGACCAAGTAGAGAAGCAAGGATATGGGGTTTTGAGAAGGGGAGGGGGAAGAAAGCGTCGAGTAACGTCGGTGAATATTGGGACTATTCTTCGATTTAAACTCCCAGAGCTGCCACCTGACCTTGCCTCCTGACAGGGCCCGCCCTCGGAGCTAGGCGTGGGGAGCGCGTCTGCTGCCAGAGGGGAAGAGCTGCTGGCCGACGCGGTTTCTCCCATCCCGGGAAGCCTTCGGCGGCTCTGGGCACGGAACTCTTCCGACGATGGCCCACAGCGACGAGGGGCAGAGGGTTGGCTCGGGGACCCACGGCGCGCCGCCCCGAGCTCTCGCCCTTCGCCCCTCCCTGTTGCTTTCTGCTGCTTCCCAAGAGTTCAGCGGCAGACCGGCTCGGAAGTAAGCCGAGGGGCTTACGCGCAAGTGCACGTGCGATCCAATTCGATGGGTCTATGACGCGAATTGGATCGTGGCCGCCTCGCGACTTCCTTTCCCGCTCGGACTCTCCGGCAACTAAGCCGAGCAGAAGGGAGGGTAGAGCGGACGCGTCAAGAAGGGAAAGGAAAAAAACCGAGGAAAGGCCAGCCGAGACCGAGTTGAGCTTGAGCCGCGATTCAGCCCCGCCGGGAAAGAATCGAGTCCTCCTCCTTCCCCCTCCGAGCTCTGGTGTCGCTCACCCGGACGCGCGTGCTTTGAAGGAGAAAGCGACGTCCGCCAGGTGGGTCTCTGCCCCGAAGCAGCTGCTGCCGCCCAAGTTGCCCCGTTCCCCCACAAAGTTCGCTCAGCTGGGTTACTCCGGATCTGCCACCTCGTGGCAGGGGGGAGAACGTAAAAAGAGCCTTGCAAAGCGTCTCCTTCGCGACAGGGCGCGCTGGGCTAATAACTCGCAGAGAAAAGTTACTGGTTGTAGTTTAACCTCACCCTAGCTCGGGCTTGGAAAGTCGGGCACAATCGCCCGAGGACCCTCGGAAGACAGGTTTGCTTTCTTTGCGGAGCCCGACGTCGCTTTCCTTATTTTGCTGCCAAGAGCTACTGCCTGGATCCTAGTTAATCATCTCTCCCCACCTGGAACCAAAGCTTTGGATTCTGTTTTCCTTGCAGGCGCGAAGACATTGGATCCAACTTGATTCTGCAGAAGGCAAACTGACCTGAACAGATCATGCAAAACAATCACTCTGAACTTCAGAATCAGGCCCTGCAGCCTTTACAGTGGCAGAGTGGTCATAGAGAGGTCCGGGTGACGGTGCGGAGCTCAAGAATCCAGTCCACTGCCTTTGCTCCTCCACAAACATTGCTGAGGAAGATCTTAGTGGCCTTCGATATTGTGTGTTTACTTGTGGGTGAGTGAAGGATGGGGGCTGTGCAATTTCTACATAGCAGTTTATCAAGAGAAGTTTTGCCACAGATGAATGAGAAATGTGAAGGAATTAAATAATCAACTTCTCTCTGCAATAGAGGTGATAGACCAGCTTATTTTGTACTCCTACTGCTACCTCCTTACCCATATAACTGGGTATTCTTGCGTATATCATGTTTCTTGTCTGAACCAAGGGGAACTGGGAACCTCCAGCTTCCCGCACTCTGATATCATTCATTGAGTAAAACCATATCGTCTAGAATTCCCACCATCCTATGCAGGTTTAGAAATGATGAAGATTGCAGCCCAACATATCCGGTGGGTAATGGAGTGTTGAAGGATTCTTGCAGTTGAATTAGTCTTTATCTAAAAATTTAGTTAACAAAGTTGAATCAGTTCTGTTTTCATCTCTGGTCATTTGTACATGCCTAATTTATAGGGCAGTCCATTTTATATTGGTTTTGGATAATTGAGGATCTGGTAATGCAGATTACTTGTTATCATATGGAAGAATCAGAGTAACCAGTACTGGGTATTCCAGTTGGCATGCCCAGCTGTTATGTATACATAGGTCCAACAGAGTTGGAATATGCAGCTGAAACCGCTGCTCAGATATTCATTTAATTCTCCACAGAGGATTTTAATTTAGTCTTTAGCAGCTGTGTGGAAATTATGTCACCATGAATCATAGTGGTCCATGACTGGGATGGAGCAAACAGCTGTTGGGCAGAGTTAAATCTTCTGAAATAGCTTTCTGATAGGGGTGTTAAGTTTATGACACTCAGTTACCAGGTTCACTTCCACTTTTTTGCTCTGCAAGTGCTCTGCAATAAAGTGTTGGTGTTGGGAAAGCAGCAACAGTGAGTGGGTGTCAGGAGGCAGTATCAGGAGAGATTGTAATGGATGCCACGTTGCCCACTCTCCCCTCCAATGAGATAAATATCCAACAAGTAGTTGCTTTCTCACTAACACAGAAAGAGCCTACAGAATGGCTCCTTGACGGTTGAGAAGATCTGCCAGGAAAGCCAGCTGTATAGCCATTGGTAAGTATGGCACTTTTAGGAGTACTAAGGACCCTCTGGCACAGGTGCCTTTGCCTTTATTCAAGGGGAGGTGGCCATTTGGAAGTCAGAACATTTCTGCACATTTGTGCTTCCTGGTTAATGATCTTCTTATTGGTTAATAATTGTAGGGAGACGAGAACAAATTCTTGAGAAGAATGGGCAATCACAGCAAGCAGAACTTTAATTCTTCGCTATACCCACTGATTCGCTTCTCCCCTAGGCTTCCCCCCCCACCTTCTGGACTAGTGGTTCTCAACCTTTTTAATGCCGCGACCCCCAACCGGTCGTAAGTCGAGGACTACTCAATCGGTCGTAAGTTGAGGACTACTCAACTGGTGCAGCATCGTTTGCAGAATGGGACTTTTGGTGGGCTCAGCAAGGCAGAGACAGCCTGGACAATTCCTATTGGCTTTTGAAAGCCAATAGAATTAGACTCTATTCAAGAGAGTCTATTCTATTGGCTTTCAAAAGCCAGTAGAATAAAAGGGAGTAGCAGAGCTAAGGAAAAGGGGGGAAAAAATGGCGGAATGCGTTGTTTGGCGACCCCCGTGAAATGGTCATTCGACCCCAAATGGGGTCCCGACCCACAGGTTGAGAACCGCTGTGCTGGACTCTTCTCATACTTAAGCCTAGCTGTCAGGGGAAAAAAAATACCTAGCAAAGAAGGGGAATTGGACCTTGTTTCTTTTTTCTTGAAGATGTTTCGCTTCTCATCCATTTCAGAACTGAAGAAACTTCTTGGATAAAAAGCGAAATGTCTTCAAGAAAAAAAAAACTCCAGCTGGCTTTTGAAAAAGCATCTTTGGGGCAGTCACGATCAGGATGACTGAGAATCTTTATAGACTTTTTAAAAGGGAGTTGCAGGAGACCAAGTGACTCCAGTGAACTCAGCTCAGTCATATTTCTGCCTTCTGACATTTCCTAAGGCTCTTCCCATGCGTATGCAAAGCTTATTATTGTCTCCAACCCTAGGGGCTGCTTTTTAAAATGTATGTCGCATTTTCCAGGAAGTTAAATGCTATACCCTTGTACCAGGTTTTGTGCTCACAAACAGCCTCAATTTTATGCTAGATGATCCAGAATAATAAGGGAACTTTTAGACAGAACTGATGAGGGGAAAGCTCAGTTTAAATCCAGTCCATCAGAAAATTTTGGCTTCTTCCCTTTTCAGTCACCTTCTGGCAGGGTTTCAGCAGTGAGAAGGACAAGAGTGTGCTCAGTACACAGAGGAGTGTTTGGTGCTTGGAGACAGATGCAAGACCATCGGAAAGAGCATTCATCAGAATGGCACAAGGCCTAGCTGGGGAGGAATGGTAGAAATAGAAACACAGACTCCTAGGGCTGGAAGGGACCTTGGAGGTCTTCCAATCCAATCCTCTGCCTTATTTAAATTCTTATGTCCTCATTCCAGGGGGGTAATTCCATTTTTGCATTTCAATAAGCTACTTTTTTTCTTTCTTTTCCGAGCTATGTTGTACATTTTTGAAGGCTAAAGTGCTGAGTTTTAAAACACAAAGGCTGAGGCCAGCCACAGTCCTGATGAGGATGATAGCTCTGAGCAGTCTTTTGTGTGTGTGCCTTGCTGTTCATATAGATTTGGGGGGGGGGGAAATCCTAAAGGACTTAAAAGGTGACCTGGTTGGTCTCCAAAGAAGCCATATTTTATTTTTATTTAATTTTTTTAAGTAAAAAGTTCTGATATGAAAACATAGTCCAGACTGGATGGTCTGTTGTGTTCCAAGTTGACATGGAGCCTGAGAAAGCAAAGGGGAAAAACAAGAAAGACAGACTGGAGCAAAGGGAAAGAATTATTTTCACTGTTTGCTGCCACTGCAGAGATATCAGTTTTCACTGGCTTGAAGGAAGCCTGTCTTGAGGGACTTTAACCTCTTCAAGGCAGTCTGTTTTTATTAATAATAATAATAATCACAAGCAAGTATAGAACATTGTCCAGATAAGGACAACTCCAATGTTCCCCAACCAGCACGCCTACCCATCCTAACCATACTTTAAGCGGGAATGAATGTTCCGAGCCATCAGGGAGGCGGTAGGTTTTGAGGATGCTTTGAAGTATTCAAAGACCTTCAGATCTTTTATCTTGTAATTCTTAGAACAATCTTGTTATCCCCATCATGCAGATAAGGCTAAGAGAAGAAATCACCTGAGGTCACCTAATGAGTTCCTGGCAGATATGAATTTTTAGTGGCTAGTTGTAGATTTGGGAGATCAAAGGTATCACTTCAGTTCACAACTGCCTGCAGAACAAGCTATAAAGTATGTGACCACATTTGAAATGTGACTCTATCTTTACATGTGAAGCAGAAAAAAAATGGATGCTAGGAAAATACCCATTTTCTTTTCCCACAGAATTAGCTGTAAACAAGACCAGGAGTCTGAATGAGAGAACTGCATATTGCATAGCCTTATTTTTCAATATAGTTTAATAATTAGGAATTCCATCTGGGAATTCTGGAAGTATTCTAACAATATTGGATTACAGTCTAATTAGATTCATTAGGAAAATATCCTTTTAATAGATACACAACAAATCTCAGACAAGCAGCTTAGAAGAGAATGTCTGCAGAAATGAAATAAAGTAAGATTAACTTATTCTAGGTATATTTAATCACAGCTTGAGGGGTGGGGAAATCTGATTTGTCCCTAGGCAGAATAGCTATTGTCTTTGGAACAACTTTGAATTAGACTTTGCAGGCGAACTTCCTAGAACACTATACTTGTTCATAAGTTGTAGGAGATGGGATCCAGACTTTCCATCTCAGACACCAAAATATCTTTTATCGCTGTAGAAAATACGCTTAAGTGTCAATGCTTCCTTAAGAATCCCTGGTCCCCAGTATAAAGACCACTTTTGGAAGCAAAGGTATTCACCATGCTGGTTCTCCTTGTGTAGGAATTAGAGTGGAACTTTCATAAACATCACAGAGATAGAAGATGATACACTGACTACGTGTCAAATAGAAATAGGCACACTGGTTTTAGATTTCATTCAGAAATAGTTCTCCTATTACTATTACCAGTAGCATGTGCAAACATTTATTTTAAAAAATTGGAAATTGTTCAGCAATGGCTGCTTTAGAAAAATCAGAAGACAACTGCTGCCCTCCAGTATCTGAAATGTCAAGGAACACTTTGAATGAGCAAGATTCATTTTTAGCTATTGCTGCTAACCTCTGTGATGGATGGTTGTTCTATCTGCGTGTCCATTATCAAATAATAAAACAAAAATTCTGAATAATAATAATGTGCACCATATGATATAATATTTGTAGAAGCTAGTCCTGAATCTTTTTCATACATTTCATTGGTTTTTTAATTTTAATACTTTGAAAAGGATATTAGAAATTTTCCATCCAGTTTCTTCATAATTTTATAAATGTCTATTATTCCCAGGCAAGTGTATCCATAGTCAGAGGCAGATAAGTTAATGCCTTTGGGACAGATCTGGGTGAAAGGCAGAATTAAGCTTTGTCTGGAAAGCAGGTCAGTTTGGAAATTTGGGTGATCTTTCCTATAACTCTGGAATACTTGGAAATTGGGGATCTTTTCATCCATCATGTTGTATCAATAGTCATCTTATGACTCTAGACAATTTTAGGCCTGCATTAGATAGATGCTAGAAGATAGGTTGTTGGGAAACTTGACCAGACCCTAAGAAGGAGATTTGCACCAAGGTTGTCTGGATGGATTGATATGGATGGCTAGTAAAATGCTGACTTCTTCATCTGCAGAGTTTGACAAATATCTGGAAGGAGCTAGAGTTCAAGTTGCAGGCAATTTGGCAGACTGGCAGTGATACCGTAACAAGGTTTGTTCAGTGGTGGTGGGTGGGCTCCTAGGCAGGAAGAGGCATTCAGAAAGTTTCTCAGATAAGAATTGGATTGTCCCTCATGTGCTGACC